TCTGAAACGCACTCCTGAGAGTTGCGTTCTGCCAAATCAACGCAGTTTTGAAGGCTGCGTTTTGATTGCACAACGCACCACTGAGGGCTGCGTTTGGCATAAACTGAGCCCACTCCTTTAGAGGTAGGGCTGCTCGAGTAATCTCGGCGACTAAAGGAGAGGGTTTCCTTTGGCATAGGAGCAACCTTTGGAGCTTTAGTCTCCTTGGCACCTCTCACAGAGCGTGAGGGTAGAGATGGAACCCCCTGTCCGTTAAAGGATGGGACTGGTTCTTGGTAAACATGAATTTTAAATCCATGTTGATCATTTTGAACACGACGAATCACATCGTGTTCCAAAGAAGGAACACGAGGGTCGTGTTTAGCTTGATTAACGCAAGACCAAAGTCTGCGTTTTGCTAGTGAAACGCAGTCCTGCGATCTGCGTTCGGATTCAGAAACGCACTCCTGAGAGTTGCGTTCAGTTTGTGAAACGCACTCCTGAGAGTTGCGTTTTGGTTCTGGGACGCACTCTTGAGAGTTGCGTTCAGCCAGATCAACGCAGGTTTGATGTCTGCGTTTAAATGATATAACGCACTCCTGAGAGTTGCGTTTGAGTTCTGAAACGCACTCCTGAGAGTTGCGTTTAGCTGGGCTTTTGCAGAGCTCATGTTGAGGCTCATAAACGCGGAGTTCGCGTTGATTGGAGGATCGGCTCTGGAGTCGTGCCAAAGTCGAGACTTCTCCTTTAGGGAGGGGACTGTATGAACAGTGCAACCCCCATGGGAGATAGTCTTTAGATGAGTTGGCTACAACTGGAGCTTTAGTCTCCTCGGAAACTTTGTGGATCTTGCGCATAGCCTTGGGGCTAAAGGATCCGGAGGAGAGGGCCTTCTCAAACTTGGCTTGATCGAACTCGATGATCAGAGTTTCAACGGTCGTTCCAGTGAGATGAACGTCGGATTGCACCACCACTTCTTTGTCAGAGAAGCTAGTCCCCAGCGGAGTCGCCATCTTTTGTTTGTTGGAAATTTGCAGTAAAAAGACAGTGAAAGAAAATTTGACTTGTATTCCTCTCAAAATCAATTACAATTTGGATTCCGATTACAAAAGAGAGGAGAATGAATTTGATTCTCCCCTTTGTTTAATTCTGGGTTCTTCACGGTGGCGATGAGATGCCTCCCTCGAATGCTCGCGTCGAGTTTGCTTCTCGTTGACGATCCGAACGTCTTGATTCACTGGAACGATGTCTTCTCCTCACGATTTGACGCTGTGGAGAACTTGCGTGGCAAGTTTGAAAATAACTCTTAACGAGTTGATAACTCTGAACGAGTTTTAGAAGAACTTGCAGAGCAAGTTTTGAACTCTGATCGAGTTGATAACTCTGACGAGTTTTAGAAGAACTTGCAGAGCAAGTTTTGAACTCTGATCGAGTTGATAACTCTGAACGAGTTTGAACTCTTGAAAAAGAGTTGATTTGAACCGAAAGTCGGTTATAAGCCAAGGGAATGCTCTTGTTGCCGATCTTAAAGATGATCTCTTCTGGTGCTGCCCAAAAAAGAAGCCAAGAGCCGAGAGCCAAAAAGCCAGCCAAAAAGCCAAAAGCCTTCTCCTCCAAGCCAAAATCCCAGCCCAAAAAAGAAGACCCGAACTCAGTTGAGTTTTGAGGTATTTTTATAGGGGATTTAGGGGTGGTAACTGCCCCCTTAATTAGCTCCTTAATGGGCTGAGTGGGGTGTAACTGCCCCCTCTTAAACAGCTCCCTACATCGTGGGGAAGACGGTTTTGAAACAGTACTGTTAGTGTTTTGAACGAGTCAAAACGCTGAAAACAGCGTTCTGGGCCTTAACTCTGCGTCTTATTGATGAGACGCAGAGTTAGGCACTTGCTGGGAGTTGAAAACGCAAGAGGTGAACTCTGCGTTTTGGCATCTGAGACGCAGAGGTGAACTCTGCGTTTTGGACCTGGAACGCAGAGTTGAGTTCTGCATGAACTCTGCGTTTTGAGTTTGGAACACAGCTACGGCCTCTGCGTTTTGAGTCTGGAACGCAGCCACGAACTCTGCGTTTTGAGTTTAGAACGCGGGAACGACCTCTGCGTTTTGAATCTTGGATGCAGAGGTGAGCCTTAGGTGGGCTCGATCAGCTTTAGGCTAAGTCCGATGTTCTGACGAAGTCCAGTCTTGCAGACGGACTTCAGAACACAACTTGCTATGAAGAACAGGTCATAACTTTCAAACCGTACGTCGGAATTGGACGAATTATATATGAAAATCGGCTATCTCGACGAGATGGAGCCATCCGAACCAAGCCAAAAGGCTTCGGTTCGCTTCCTCCGTTTCGCCAAATTCCTCACGGTTTGAGAGATATTTGCATTCTAATATGAAGAGACCGTCAATTTGTAGTCTCTTTTGTTAGAGCGTTGCAAAGATCGTCACCTTGTAACCTTCGTCTTGGCTCCTTGAAAATATGAGAGTCGTCAGATTGTAACTCCCGATGTTGATTGTGAATGCTGTTGAATTAGAGATTTCATCAGTTGTCGTGAAGGTCGTCAGATTGTAGCCTTCTACGTGAAAGTCCTCAAATTGTAGCCTTCTGGAAGTCGTCAGATTGTAACTTCCATCATCGGTGTTTGATGGGGGATCAACTATCTATTGTGATTTTTAGACAGCCTACAGTTTCCATAGATGCACAATGCATAGGAATTTAAAAAAATGAGCGAGTTGGAACACCTTGAAGCTCAATTTCTCTGTCTCATGCTACAATCATAACTGGAGGTAACTGGAGGATGGAGGCTTACTATGCAGTAGCACAGAATTACACTTTGATTCCAGCAGAATTTACATTTAGAAGAAAAGAAATAATAACTGAAAGACTGGAAAATGAAAGTGAAAAAAGTTTGTAATGAAGATAAAAAACAAATGAAAGATTGCTACCGCTAAAAAAAGGTGGGATTAGTCTCCTGCTTATGCCACGGAATAAACAAAAGATATAATTTGAAATTTCAGATCCAAATTATTTAACCAACACAACTGGATGTGCTACATTTTATTATAAAGAAGCTAAATGAATGCTCTTCTTCTCAAGCAAATGTTACAACTTCCTACATGCATAGAAGTTTCTAAGATTGCAACCAACTTTCATGTATGGTCAACGTGCAGTGCATAAAAAATTAAAGAGAATGGATAAGCCATCAATATTGATAAAGATTTTAAATATGGGATATCAGGTTCATACCAAACAGGTATTTTCTGTATTTAGATAGCATATATTGGACGATATACACCGGTGATATGATGCCAAATTTGGGAATTCATATCAGACACTCTCTATCATTGAGGTCGGGAACATGGGACCCCATAGTGAATCGCGGCCCGGGTTCAATTGTCCCGGAATCGTGGTGGAACACATTCCGATTCACAAAATCTAGAGATCAACCAATTAAAATATTGAGCAAAATAGCTCTTTTTCAAAAGAATAAACAACAGATAATGTCAGAAATTAAGCAAATAAAGTATATATACCTTAATTGCAACATGATTCTCACGGTTCTTTTACCATTACTGATATCAACTAGCATATTTCCTAAACTTCACTCTTGCAAAACCTTTGATTCCTACATTTGGGAACCGAATCTAAAACGTACCAGGTTCCTTGGCGTACCATATAACACTACCCCCCTCACACCCAACTCCCAATAAGCGGCGTACCACACTCCTGTACCCGTCCCAAGAACCGAAACGAAATGAGTTCCATGCAACTATGCTCTATATATTCCATATACGATAATTGAGGAACATCCTAGATGTCATTCGACTTGAAATAGTTTGCATTCAAAGACATTTATCCCAATATATCTTTGCAATTAATTGAATCACGATATTGGAAAATATATTTAAGTAAAATTTTAATTAACTCAATAAATTTATTTATCATGATAACTAGCTTTACTACTTATATTGGAATTCAATGCAACTAAGAACTGCCAAAAAAATGGAATGGCAAGTCATGCGACAAAGAACTGCCAAAAAATGGAATTCCCACTTGCAAGACTTAACAGAATAGCTTTATAGAAAGCAAAATTTTAACCAAAACTTAACAAGAAAATTAACCTAAACAAATCAAAAGAAAAGCTTTTTATACCCAAAACTCTCTGCTGAATGGGAGAGTGAGAGATGAACAGAAGAATCCTCTGCTTATGGCTGTTGAACTAGAGAGAGGTGGAGAGAAAAACATAGAGATCGAAAGAGATGGACAAAAGAAGGAAAGCTCTTCGAGAATGCCCCATTACGGCCTCGATAGTGCCTACCAGTTGATTTGAGCTTCCTTCGACTGGCTTTCTGAGGGCAAAGGTCGACCTTGTCTCAGATCAAGATTTTGGTTTACCTCTGCCCTCTTCAAACTAAGACTGAGATGATGCGCAGAAAAAGGGCAGAGAAAATGAATCAAAAAATGTGACAAGTTTTAAGGCAATAATCTGATCGGAACCGATTCGGCAATGGTAAACATCTCTTTTATCAGTCTTCCCTTAGAAAGTAAAATATGAACTTCCACAGGTTAATATCAGTATTTGAAAAGATAAAAAACATAAAGAGGTACATCCATATAAGACACTCTAAAAAAAGATTTCAAAAATAGGATCTAAGCGAAGTAACAAACTAATACTCAGCCTGTCGCCAATTATGCCCAACAATAGAACTAATTTGTGTCACATCATGAAGCATATACTTCAGGCAGAAAATTACTTTTTTTTTGGATAAAAGATTCATGCTAGTGAAGAATAAAACAAATATATAGAAAATGGACTAAGCTCTACTTTCTCAAGCGTTATAAACAAAAAGTGAACCTTTTCTAAATCTAAAGACTGCAGCATTTTCAGTAATCATTGAATGAACCCAAAAGCAATATTTTCAGCAATCATTCCTTCTCAAAATCCCCAACAACTTATAAACCAGAAACAATTACGCTAAAATAATAAAAAAATCATTATTGAAACCAACTAAAATAAGAAATATTCACAAACCATGGAGGATGAGAATCATCCCAGAAGCTACCCGTGTGCTTGTACCAAACCCTAATCATCCAAAGAGAGTAGAGAATCATCCCCAATCCAACAAACCCAATCAAAGAATTCACCAGCTTCAGCAGCGACTGAAGGCAAATCCTCACAAATCCCCCCATTTGGTCCCTAGAATCCAAAAACGAAGAAATCAGAGCACGACCCAGATTGAAAAATTCGATTTTTAAGAAAAATTGTGGAGAAAATTAGAAAAAGATGATACTTTGATTCGTGGGTATTTCAACTTTTCGAATGAGAGAGAACAAAAATCCCCCTCGAGTTTATTATTAGGGATTAAGATCGATGCGCGATTCAGGAATTTTCCTTATAACCCCCCTGAAATACTAAATTTATATTTGTAACTGGAAACAAGTTTAGTCGAATCCTATGGCATCAAATACTGTGATATAATAGTGACATATTTGGATTCTGAGTTATGAATCCAATTCTACTTCACAATGGAATTCGAAAACACCGTAGCATGTGTAAACATGCAAAAATAATTTAAGAAGAATACAATATTAAAAGTATAAATTTGTAAGAAGTTAAATATGTAATTGTAAACGAATAATTATAATCTATCTATATCTATATCTATATTACATATAAAAGAAGATTTGGGTGCTAAAACTCTTAATTACACTTTTTACCCCTCTCAAATTTAATAAATCCAACTTTAATTATTTTGTTTATTAAATTTATCTCAAACTCTCATTCAATTAGTTTTAAATTAAATTAAATTAAATTAAATTAATTGCACATCATCATAATAATAAGATTTAATATTAGTTTTTTAGGCTCTTAAAGATTCCATAACTTATCTAATCTTATACCATTTATTATAAATTATAAAAGTTTGTAGGATGTTAAAACATTTCTTCGAAGCTATCCCTCACCACGTACATAAATACATACATGAATACACATAAATACTCAATATGTGATAATTACCCTCTCCAAGAATTTCATATCCATACATGCCTACATGACCATATATACATACATAACATCCTATATGTTAAAATTCTTTTCAAAAATGCCCGTCAATTGCATGAGTATTCATCAAAGTCCCTTTATTCACATTCTCATTTAAATCATACTCCCTTTAAAAGAGGGAGTTGTGGAAAAACTTTTCAAGGACTATACTATCATTATTCTTTGTTGATATTACATTCTAATACTAACTAAACTAAATTAATTATCACTGTTAATTAATTACATTATATGTCACTTTAAGTTTGTATAATTTGGTCCCTAAAACTTCCAACGCTATTGTAAAACTCTACATCATATTAATTATTAGTAATATGAAATAATATATTAATAGATAATTGCATGTTAATAAAGTATTTATGGAAAGAGTAGAAAACATAGAATTATCCTAAAATTATACCATGAAACTCATATAGGAAAATTACAAAGAGCATTCTTATGTTTATGTAACAGGACAGAATGTAAAAACTTTATATTTTGGAAAATATTAGGATATTTAACTGCAGCATGCTAGATATGTTATCTAAAATTTAAAAAATGTGCAACAAGATACAAGTGGAGGTATATAAATGTAATTGCGGTAAACTATAAAAGATTTAAGTTCAGTTAAGCTAATAAAAGATTTAAAACCTTTGTTATCCATAAACAATAGTATATGAACCCATTGATAAATAATATTCATCATACAATATGAGGCCAGATGGTTAGCTTATATTTATATAGTAGACGAGATGCTGAAAAATTAAAGCATCATATTTTGAATGAGTCTCAAGATTTTGAATTATTTCCTAAAATTATATACTTCGCTTAGAAAACTTTAGAAGGGGCTTCTAAAGAACTACTACAAAGGGTTGGACATCAGATAAATATTAAACAAATAAAATCCATGATATCAGATTGTAAAATTCAGGGATGTCTATGTAATATTGGGTGTCATATGAGATAATATTCATACATAACATGACATTGTAATATGTAATCTAACATATTAATGAATTTTAAATATAATAATTTGCATCAAGAAATATGCTTAAGATTTGGGAGAGCCGAGAGTGGAGAGATTTGGAGAAGAATTGTGGCCTTTGTGGGTTTTGTAGGTTCCAATTTTATTTCCCAAACACGATCCAAACTCGAGTCCACAATCAAATTAAAAATGACATGATTTTCTCAATATCTTCAAATAGATATATTGGTCATATTTTCGATAACGGTCGATATATCAAAAAAATCACCAAACAAAAGAAAACAAAAGGAAATATTACCGAGATAAAATCTTTAACCCGATATATTAGCCAATATAGCAATATATCGGCAAATATTTCATAGGATCCCTATAAGAGCAAATATGTAAAGGTTATTTAGATATTAGTTCCTTGATTTTAAATATACAATGATTTTATGTTATTCCCTGAAATGTTTTAAATTGCTCATAATTTAGGGACTAATATTAAATTATTAAAAAAATTTGATGTTGTTTGACATTGGATAGATATGAATTATTTTGTTAAAATACAATCAATATGAGTGCATAATATGTATAAATTTTTCTCAGACTATATTTATAATTTTCTAAAACTAGAGAGTAATCATTTTGATAGATCAATTAGTAGTTGGGAAGATATAAAAAGAGTACAAGAACAGATTTTAAAATTGATCATATAATTTATATTTTCGTTCTTGATTGAATTTACACATTATAACATAGAGAATTCTAGAAAAAGGTTCTTGAATATCTATAATACTCGATCGCCTAATAAACAATAGGTGGAAGTGATTTTTTCATAACCGAACAAAATTCTTACTACCTAGATAAAGCCTACCATTTTTCTTTGATGAATTCAAGAATTTATTTTTTTATTAATAATTATAGGTTTTTTCCATATTGGTCCCTTACATCATTAATATTTTAAAATTATACGTTCAAATTACTAATTAATCTTAAATCATTAATATTTTAAGGCTTTAAACATCACTATTTTTTGGAAGACAAAAATGTTAAAACCACATATGGAAATATCCAAAAAATTAATATATTATGATATTTCTAAAGTTTTTTGCAACCATGTTATAGTAAATAAATAAACCTAAAAATAATATGATATTTGATCATGTGCAGTGCATGTACATTCCACCTAGCCATACTCTCCTTAAAAGTGAGAGTTATGGAAAAACTTTTCATGGACTATATTGTCCCTATTCTTTTTTGATATTATATTCTAATCATAAATTAACTAAATTAATTATCATTATTAATTAATCATATTACTTTTTCACTTCAATTTTGTCTAACTTGACCTTAAAACTTTTAATGTTATTGTAAAACTCTCATATTAATTATTAATAATGCATAATACTATATTGATAGACAATTGCAAGTTAATAATTTATTTTGGAATGAATATAAAATATAGAATTGTCCTAAAACTATATCGTGGCACTCACATAGGAAAAGTATAAAGAGTATTCTTGCGTACATAAGTAAAAACATGTAATTTTAGAAAATATTAGGATATCTAAGTGCATTAACATATAATTGGAGATATATGAGTGTAACTTCCGTAAGTTGTAAGCTATTTATGTTTAATTAAGCCTATAAAGATTTGAATCCTTTGTTAAACACAAGCAATAGTATATGATGTTGTGCGCAGCGAAAATTTCGGCAGCACAACAAGAGAGATTAGATCGATAAGAATTCCCGTCTCACCAAGGAAACAAGAATCTGAAGTGGATATCTCAACCAAGTGAGATATCGGCTCTTCCTCTCATCAGTTCTAGGACTGACCTGTCGAGGGATCCTACAAGCTATTACAAATCACGACAAGAACACAACTTTTACGTGGTTCGGCAAATAGCCTACGTCCACGGGGCAAGGAGGGGGAGATCTACTATTAGAGGGAGAGATATAATTGGGGTTTACAATCCTCTCACAATTAAACCCTCAAACAAACTCTCATCCCTCACACAAAATCTCTCTCAAAAGGGGAAGACACAAAACCCTAAAAGGGACTGCTCAAAATCTCCTAGCTGTTGCCTGCGTTTTTCTCCTGCAGCCGAAAAGAATCCCCGCAGCAAAAACTCCTCGCGCGCACCTCAGCAACCAAGCCTTTTTTTTTCTTGCTCAGCCGCAGTCAACAGAGAACAAATCTCCTGCACGCCCCTTGCAGCAACCAATCAAAAAGCTCCTTGCTTTTCACCTTTGCCAACTGCCTCACGCGCCTCCAGTTGCACACAAAACCCTAGGCAACCTTAGGGTATTTATAGCTATGCGGAAGTGGGTGGGCCTGGCCCTTTAATCACATGGAAAACGAAAAACTGAAATCACATTGCTGCTCACGTGATTTTCCTCCCAAAACTCATGGACTCAAACTCGTGGACCCCACACCACGTTCACAAACCTCTCTTGCTTGCAAGTAAACTCCTGTTAATGGATAATTAAAATTGTGCGTCTGGCTACAGTTTAATTTTGAGAAGTTATGAACTTGAGAGACTAGCCAATACTCCCTCCCTATCCTCCACCCCCACACTCCCAGACACCCACACGCGCGTGGGCAGTGGATATGAGTTGCAACCTCATTTAGCAAATCATACTCCCTTTAAAAGAGGGAGTTGTGGAAAAACTTTTTATAGACTATATTGCCCCTATTCTTTTTTGATATTATATTCTAATCATAAATTAACTAAATTAATTATCATTATTAATTAATCATATTACTTTTTCACTTCAATTTTGTCTAACTTGACCTTAAAACTTTTAATGTTATTGTAAAACTCTCATATTAATTATTAATAATGCATAATACTATATTGATAGACAATTGCAAGTTAATAATTTATTTTGGAATGAATATAAAATATAGAATTGTCCTAAAACTATATCGTGGCACTCACATAGGAAAAGTATAAAGAGTATTCTTGCGTACATAAGTAAAAACATGTAATTTTAGAAAATATTAGGATATCTAAGTGCATTAACATATAATTGGAGATATATGAGTGTAACTTCCGTAAGTTGTAAGCTATTTATGTTTAATTAAGCCTATAAAGATTTGAATCCTTTGTTAAACACAAGCAATAGTATATGATGTTGTGCGCAGCGAAAATTTCGGCAGCACAACAAGAGAGATTAGATCGATAAGAATTCCCGTCTCACCAAGGAAACAAGAATCTGAAGTGGATATCTCAACCAAGTGAGATATCGGCTCTTCCTCTCATCAGTTCTAGGACTGACCTGTCGAGGGATCCTACAAGCTATTACAAATCACGACAAGAACACAACTTTTACGTGGTTCGGCAAATAGCCTACGTCCACGGGGCAAGGAGGGGGAGATCTACTATTAGAGGGAGAGATACAATTGGGGTTTA